CTGCCAGCAATTTTGTCTGAGATGCTGCTCACTTTCCTGAGAGGGAAACTGAGGTTCATCACAGCGAAGGGATCTGGACTCGGGGTCCTGGGACCCAAAGCCTCCTGTCCACAGGGGAGGCCTCTGGCCTCTTCCTCCCAGCCCCGGCCTTCCTGTCTCTGAGCTGCCATGTTGACATTTCGGAAGGAGCAGCTGTCACCAAGCAAGCGCCTGGCCATCCCAGCAGCCCGTGGGGCATCATTTACATGAATTTACATGATTTCGCATGCTCCGCCTCCGCTGGTGGCCTGTCTTGCTGGTGGCCACCACCATGTCATCATGGATCCAATTCATGCATGAAACTGATTTTTTTTTTCTTTTGAGGGAAAAAAGTTGTCTTCTCCTGAACTGTCAGTCAGTCCACCTCCGGATAGCTACTCCGGAGGCTGAGATCTGAGTTCAAACCCCAGGACTGGCACACACATCACACAGCGCTGAGGCACTGGTACTGTGGCCACAAGTTGTTCACTGCTGTGGCCACGCGCAGGGTCAGCAACCACCCTGCCCAGCTCCTGTCAACCCAAATCACGAGACACCAACTGTTCAGTGACCCCATGAGATTATACGGACACAAGAGTGGGCCTTGAACTCAGGGCTTGGGCGCTGTCCCTGAGCTCTTTTTTTTAAGGCAAGCATTCTACCACTTTGAGCCACAGCACCACTTCTGGTTTTCTGGTGGTTCATTGGAGGTAAGAGTCTCATGGACTTTCCTGCCAGGGCTGGCTTTGAACCATGATCCTCAGATCGCAGTCTCCTGGGTAGCTAGGATGACAGGTGTGAGCCACCAGAGCCAGGTGAATTCATTCATTTATTTATTTATTTTGTGTGTGTGCCAATATCAGGGCTTGAACTCAGGGCCTCACACTTGAGTTTGACTTTTCCACTCATGGCTGGCGCTCTAACCACTTGAGCCACGCCTCCCACCCGGCATATCATGCTTCATGACAGCTACGGTGTGTCACTGGTTTATGCATTTACTATTACATCGTACTTCACAGTCTGCTTTTTCCCCTTCATTTATTTTTATTCACGTGTTGGTTGTACCAGGTGGGTAATTCTAACCATTGAAGCGTTAGGTTATTCTGTGGAGAGTGTTTCGTGGTTGTTTTTTTTTGCTAGGGCCTCCTACCTTTGCTTCCAGTGTAGCTGGGATCACAGATGTGAGCCACCATACCTGGTTTGGGTGTTGAAATGCTGGCTCAATAACGTCTTTGCCCTAGCTAGCCTTGAACCCAGCACCCAGATCCATCCAGTTCTCCACAGAGAGATTGAAATGACAGGTGTTAACCACCATATGTGGCTAATTATTAGTCTTGCTATTTGTATTTTAAAAAAAGAGAGAGGTTTACTATGAAAGGCTGTGTCTGTGGCATCTACCCTGCCACGTGTTCAATGTTTGCTGTGGTTTTGCTCCATGAGGGGTTTGCATAGGGTCTTGTGGTTTTGCTCTTAGCCTGGATTGTGATTCTCCTCTATAACCCTTCCCAAGTAGCTGGGATTACAGAAGTGAGCCACCATGCTTGGGCTTTTTTTTTTTTTGTCAGTCGTGGGGCTTGAACTCTGGGCCTGGGGTCTGTCCCTGAGCTCTTCAGCTCAAGACCAACACTCTACCACTTGAGCCACAGCGCCACGTCCAGTTTTCTAGTGGTTTATTGGAGATAAGAGTCTCACAACCTTTCCTGTCCAGGCTGGCTTTGAACCAAGATCCTCAGATCTCAGCCTCCTGAGTAGCTAGGATGGCAGGCGTGAGCCACCAGCACTGGGCTCCAATGCTTGGTTGATATAGGCTGAATTGTGGTCTCACTCACTTTTTTTTTTAGTCCAGGCTGGCTTTGAACTGTGATCTTCTCATCCTCCATTTCCCAAGTAGCTGGGATTACAGGCTGAGCACCTGCTGCTGCCTTTCTGTCTTGGCTTGGCTCTGATGATGGCTAATGGTTACAATCCCTCACAGTAATGTCAGGTTCTTACCATCTTGCTTGGCTTGCCTGAGCTCATTATGTGTGCATCATTGATACTGCGGACCTGTGATGGCCTGAGGTCACCAAGGGGCGGAGAGAAAAGGCCCCTCCTCCAGGCCACACCCAGGACCTCCCCTACCCAACCCAGGAGCCCGCCCTGCTCTCTCATCAGGGGCAAGAAGTCAGGAAATCCTCTCCCCCAACCCATCAATTCTGCCAGTGCGGGGTCAGAGTTGGCTTCGAGAAGTTTTATTTATTTTTTGAGAGAGAGAGAGAGAGAAAGAGAGAGAAAGAGACAGAGACTGAGAGCCAGAGAGAGAGAAGCAGCCCCCCTGGGGCTGGGAAGGTGGCTCAGTGGTAGAGCGCTTGCCTTGCATGCCTGAGGCCCTGGGTTCGATTCCTAAGCACCACATAAGCAAAAAGAAAAAAGCTGGAAGTGGCGCTGTGGCTCAAGTGGTAGAGCGCTAGCCTTGAGCTGAAGAGCTGAGGGACAGCGCCCAGGCCCAGAGTTCAGGCCCCACGACCGAACCACCCCCCCACCAAAAAAAAGAAAAGCAGCCCCCTCTAAGGGGGATTAGCTGTCACCCTAAGAGCCTCGGGCCTGATGAGAAATCCTCTCATTTCTCCCTGGCCCCAGAGGTCGGCCATTCTTCTCTGCAAATCCAGTCATTAGTGGCGACTCTCGGGGACTGGCACAATCACTCGGTGATTGTGGAGCCTGTCCGCCCGCCCCTCCCTTCCCCCCCTGCATTGTCCGGGCAGGGGTGTGGGGATGCCAGCCTCCTCCCTCCAACCTCCCTTCAGCTGGGCACAGGGCAGCATTCCCAACGGCTCCATCTTCTCTCTGTGGGCCAGGAGCTTTCCCTGCCCGCTGGGCGCTGCCTCCCTTCCGCTTTGGTTTTTCGTATATGTGCATTTGAGCAGACACCATAGACGGTGGACCTCATCTCTGAGCATGTGCAAGCATCATGGTGGGACCCACAGAAACACAGACCTGGCCCCATCCAGCTCTTGGGTCAGGGGGTCTGGGGCCAGGGGATGGGTGGCTGAGAGACAACTTCCTAGTGTCTCTGGCCTCACCGGTTGGCCACCAGCTTCGGCCCTACAGGAGTTGTTGCTATAAGAAGGCCACAGAGGAGTCCACACCACAGAAATACCTTGTAGCCCGGCATGGTCGCTCATACTTACAATCCCAGCTATTTGGGAGATGGAGATTGGGGAAGGTCACAGTTCAAGGCCAGGCTGGGCAAAAAAAAAAAAAAAAAGCAAGACTCCATCTCAACCCAGAAGCTGGGGCTTGGTGGTTCCCTTCTGTAATCTCAGCTTACGTGGTGGGAGAGAGCTGTGTAGGAGAATTACCATTCAGGCTGGCCAAGGCCACAACATGAGACCCTACATGAAAGATAAAGAAAATCCCAAAGGGCTTGGGGGTGTGTGTGGGGCTCAAGTATGCCCGCCCTTATTCTTGTTAGTGCCAGTCCTTTCCTGGGCTTGGATGAACTGGAGCCTTTGGAGCAAAGCTGAGGGTAGGGGCCAGGGGTTGGGGTGGGGGGTGATGCTCAGCAAGAATCCCAGAAGTAACTTCATCACACAGCTGGGTGCCTGGAGCCCAGTACTCCGCCGCTAACTTAACCCCCAGCACCCAGGCCCTGCACCCAGCACCCAGCACCCCTGAGAGAGCAGAGCTGTGCCAGCCAGGCTGGCAGGTGGAGCAGGGGAGGGCCTGGCCCAGAATGGCATGGGCAGGGAGGAGCCTGGGGGTGGGGGCCGAGGTCGGGGAGCAGCTGAGTCAGAGCTCAGAGACAGGGCCCCCCAAATGCTGCAGAGGCCACCAGAGGAGCCTGGGCAGCTGGCGTGGGGTGGGGGGGCAGCTCCTCCTGGCACAGCTCAGCTCCCTGCTGCCTGGTGGGCTCAGGGCCAGCAGAAGCTTTGGGGACCGTGTGTGTGTGCATGTGTGGTGCCAGGGAGGTGTTTTCACGACACGCAGGCTGCCAAGCGCGCACGGAATCCATGGGTTTGCCCAGGAGATACGATTATTTTTAGCGAGGGAGAAGTTTTCCCAAACCCTACAAGCCCCTGGGGTAGCAGGGATGAGGGTGCGTGAGTTACTGGGGTTCTCTCCACTGGATAAATCACCTTGCCCGAAGACCCCCGGGCTGGGCCTGGGTGGAAGGAATCACTGCTTACAGGCAGGGGTAGGGACAGCCGGGCCTGTGAGCTGTGATGGAAAAGCAGATGAGAACTCTCGGTGGTTGGTCAGTGATGGGAATTCTTCTGTAAATCATTTTAGGTAAACATGAAGAACTCCTTGGGCCCTGGTGCTGGTGGTGCGGGCCTGTTATCCGAGCCACTCCGGAGATCTGAGATCTGAGGATCATGGTTCCTAGGCCAACCCGGGCTGGGCACCACCAGTGGCGCACGCCTGTCATCCTAGCTACTCAGGAGGCTGAGATCTGAGGATCACAGTTCAAAGCCAGCCTATGAAGGAAAGTGTGTGAGACTCATCTCCAGTAAACCACCAGAAAACCAGAAGTGGCGCTATGGCTCAAGTGGTAGAGCACTCGCCTTGAGCTGAAGAGCTGAGGGACAGCGCCCAGGCCCAGAGTTCAAGCCCCACGACTGACCAAAAAGGAAAAAAAAAAAAAAGGCCAACTTAGACAAGAAAGTCCGTGAGACTTATTTATCGCCGATGAACCACCAAAAAGCTTAGAATTGGAGCTGTGGTTTAAATGGCAGAGAACTAACCTTGAGCAGGAAATCTCAGACACAGCACCTGGGCCCTGAGTTCAAGCCCCAGGACACACACACACACACACACACACACACACACACACACACACACACACACACACACACACACGGGGTTGTGGTCGATCTCAGGGTCCTGGCTGGGCATCAGCATGGCGGGGTGACAGGTGGGGAGGGGGTCCCCCAGGCAGAGCCGCAGGTGGCCCTGACAGGCCCCCCCCCCCCGTGGGGCCTCTCTGCTCTGCCCCGCAGGCGTGCTGTGGCTGTCTGTGGTGTCGGAGGTCCTGTACATCCTGCTGCTGGTGGTGGGCTTCAGCCTTATGTGTCTCGAACTCTTCCACTCCAGCAACGTCATCGACGGGCTGAAGCTCAACGCCTTCGCTGCTGTCTTCACGGTGCTCTCAGGTAAGGAAGGGCGCTGGGGCCGCCAGGGGTGACCCCAAGCCAGGCCCTGGCCCGTGTGGCTTCTCTTTTCTGAGCCTCTGGCCTGCCAGGCGCTGGGCCGGGCTCTGGCGGTGCGCCTTCGGGCAGCAAGGGACATGGGGGAGATGGAGGGGATGGGGAACTCGGGGTGTGTGTGTGGGGGGATCTCTGGAAATCGGGGCCACACAGCTTGGTGGTAGATTGGGGCACCAGGGGAGATGGTTATACAGGAGGTAGAGGGGGCCAGTGGAGGCTTTCATGGAGCTGTAAAAGTGGGGGTAGGGGAGCCCTAGACAGATACTGGTGGCTCACGCCTGTCATCCCAGCTGCTCAGGAGGCTGTGATCTGAGGTTCACGGTTCAAAGCCAGCCGGGCAGGAAAGTTGATGAGACTCATCTCATCCGGAAGTGGAGCTGTGGCTCAAGTGGTAGAGTGTTAGCTCAGGGACAGGACCAGGCCCTAAGATCAAGCCACAGTACTACTACTACTACTACTACTACTACTACTGAATAATCTGCGAGTCTGTGAACTTGGATCCCATGAGCCTGGGTGGGGAACAATGGCAACTTCACTTCTAACTTGTGAACATCTTTCGAATTTCCCTGTACCCCCCATATGCCGCCAGTCCACGTTTCCCTGTGACTACTTTCCTCTTGCTCACATGAGTTGTGTTGGATGCAGCTGAGAGCGTTCCCGGGATGACTGGGGCACCCCCTTGGCTGGCCTTTCAGCAGGAAGGGCCTGGGAGCCTTGAGTGAGCGTACCCCTATACCTCCTCTTCTCTTCTCCTTTGCTTTCCCTCCATCCAGTGTCCAAGACTCCCCCCAAGCCCCCTCTCACCCATGTTCCTGCTCACCCATTTATTCCCCGTCCAGAAACGAAAGCAAAAAAACATCTGGCAGCCCGAGGCAGCTGGAGCGGATTCCTGCAGCTGTTTGGGGAGGGGAGGGGCAGATCCATGACTTGCTCCGGGAGCTAATCAAAGTTTGCCTGCCTTTGGAAAACCCAGCGTTCTTCCCCGCCTGGGGGGTGTATGGGGGGTGGAGTCGCTCTGCGAGAGTAAATAAGATGATCTCCCTAATTCCAGGCAGATAAACAACACAGGGCTGGGTGAGGTTAATTGACTGACCCCCGGTCACACAGCGGGACAGTTGTGGAAGGGACCCTAAGCTGGTTGCAAAGCACTTTGTACAAGACCGCTTTGTGTTGGACCGCACACCATGTGTGAGACCGGAGGAAGGAGGGAGGGAGGGAAGAGGGGTACAAAGCAGCCAGGGACACTCCAGAAGAGAAGCAGCCAGAGGTGGAGAGCCAGGCGGTGGTGTTTCTGTGGGGAAAAGGAGAAGGGGGAGAGATGAGGCCCATGTCGGGCTTGCTGGAGCTCCTGGAGAGCATGAGGGCTGGTGTTGGCACCCGGGGGTGCAAGGGGAGCCATCTTCCATTCAGGAAGGGGTGGATCAGGAGGGCTGGACACAGACCAAACCTGGGTCCCCATGGAGGCAGATCAGGCCCGGCCATCTGCTGGGCCAACTCAGCCCAAGGTCACACCGTCTTCCAGGGGAGAGGAGAAGGCAGAGGGGGAGCCTTTACACAAACTGGCAATTAGGCTTCGTTGGTAATTCTGGAAATGTTCGAACGGCTAGCTTTGATTGGTATGGACAAAGGGTCTCCTGTAGGACAGCTTAAATCCATCTTCTTGCTGAGTTTTGACCTTGGGCTCTGTCTTTGGCCTTCTTTGTCCAGTGTTAACAGAGATCCTGTGGTTTAGTTTCATTGGAAGCCAAGCACTGGTGGCTCATGCCTGTAATCCCAGCTACTCAGGAGGCTGAGATCTAAGGATCACAGTTTGAAGCCAGCCTGGGCAGGAAAGTCCATGAGACTCTTATCTCCAATTAACCACCAAAAATGGGAAGTGGAGCTGTGGCTCAAATGGTTGAGCGATGGCCTTGAGCACAAAAGTTCATGGGCTGCGCCCAGGCCCTGAGTTCAAGCCCCAGGACTGGTGCACACACACACACACACAAAATTAATGGAACCCTCTACTCTGGTATCTGATCAAACCACCTCCCATGGCATTGTCGCTTGGGCTGCTCCTAAGGAGGGTGCTGACAGAAGTCCCCTGGGGTCCCCTGGGGTCCCCTGGCATCCTCTCTGGAACATTCCATCCTCTGCTCACCCTGCTCCCTGCTAGAAGGTCCTTAGAGGGAGGTTCCTTGGCTCTCGATATTGTTAGTCACCCTACACCCTAGCTGGACAATATGGCGCCCCGCTGAGTGGGGGCTGTTCACCCCGCTTCCCAGGCTGGGCCAAGGGAACCTGGGGGAGGGGGCGAGGACAGCAGGGGTTTGCACGGAAGACCAAGTGCGGAGGGCATGTGTTGGAAAAGGCAGGGAGAAGGGCTGAACCCCACAAGAAACCAGTGTCTGCAGGCCCCTGTGGGCTCGAGGGAGAGACCGTAGCAACCAGTGTCCCCAAGAAGGAGACGCCAGCCACAAGTTTTTGGGGGGCCCCATCTGCCCTCCGTTTCTACTCCATTCCTCAGGGTTGGTTACGTACTCACAGGAAAGCTCACTCACTTCATATCAAAGACAGAAATCAGGCCCAGGGCCCCAGCCAGGAAGCTCCCCAAGTTTGGGGGACTTGTTCCTAGGGTCCTGTGGCATGCAGGTGCTGTTCTTGCCCTTCCATTTATAGCTGGGGAAACTGAGGCCCAGAGCTAATAAGTAGGGACTCTGGCTTAAGAGTTTCCTGTGCTTTAGCATTGGACAGACTCTTGGGGGCTGCGCCCAGCACACACCGCTGGGTCCTTGTGGTCCCTTCGGGTTCCCAGCATGCTTTGCTGCGAGGGAGAGTGGTGGTCTCCCTGCCGGGGCTGAGGGTCTCCGGTGCAGCGCCCACACGCTTTGTGCCGGTGATTCACATGGCCAGAGCTGCCCGGATGCTGGGCAGCCCGCAGCAGGGGGACCAGGACAAACCTGGGGACACCCCCCCCATCCTCAGTCCACTGTCACCACGGAGAAATGCAACCGTATTCAAGAAACCCTCAAAACTGGCTTCCGATGCAAAATAAATAAGTAAATCTCCTTGGCTTTTAATTTTTTTTTAAATATAACTCTATTAAGATGCTATTTGCATATCGCAATCTTTTCCTATTTTAAAAGTCTGGAATTTGGTGGTTTTAATAGGCATCTAATTTTAAAGCATTCCCATTACCTAAAATAAACCTCACCCTCACGAGAAGCTACTCCCCATTTTCAACCAACCAGAGAAGCCTCAAGCAAACACTAATCTACTTAAATTAAAAAAAAATTTTTTTTGTCAGTTATGGGACTTGAACTCAGGGCCTCTTTTGCTCAAGGCTGATGCTCCACCATTTTGAACCACAGCTTCACTTCTGGTTTTTGAGTGGTTAATTGGAGATAAGGGTCTCACAGGGGATTTCCAGCCCAGGCTGGCTTCCGATCACGATCCTCAGATCTCAGCTTCTGGAGAAGCTGGGATTACAGGTGTACACTCTCAGTGCCTGGCTTAAGCCTGTCTGGAAAACAAAACAGCACCCAGGATCCTCACTCCCTCTCTTGTGCAAGCTGAAGAAATTCCTCTGGGGGAGTTTTGCCAAGGGAATATGCTTTTCTCCTTCCTGTGACACCTCTGGGAACCCAGTAAATAGAGAAGAAAAGGCCACCTGACAGAGGAAACACATAAATTTTAGCAGCCCTGCCCCTTGGTGCAGTGATCCCTTTGCCCCATCCCCTACGTGGCTGAAATTGGTATTTATCCAGTATTTGTCTCCATGAGATAACCAAGTTCTAGCTCCTGTGGAAGTTTAGAAATCCATAAAAGCCCTTTTCCATTGAGCCTAGGATTTGTGAGCGAGTCTGTCAGTTGGTATTTATCAAAGGCCTCCTTCGTGGGATAAAAGCCGACCTCTTTGCCACGCCCACAGAACATGACCTGGGCCGTTCATCCTTTCCAGCCACCTGATTGCCCTCTGCGCTGTCACTCAGGGCTCTCTGGGAGGTTTGATCTCCAGGCCCTTCCTGTCCACCACCTGTGTCTGACCATTCTCCCTTCACGCTGGGGTTCCAAATATCACTTTCCTCACTTCCCTCCTGCTCACCTCCATCCTCCTGCCCCTTCCTCTTCCCTTAACTGCACTTACCAATTTACAAGCAGCACTGGAAAAAAAAAAAAATTTAGTAGGTGCTCAATAAATATTGGCTGAGTGGCTACAGGAACTTAAGAGAGCCAGGCATCACTTAACGCTGGGCTGCGTGTGACAGCTGTGTGGCTTCAGACTCACTCAGTGGCCTTGAATTCACCTGGACCACAAAGGTACTCTTTCCACCTAGCCAATCAGGAGAGACCATAAATCGCAGCTAGAAAGCAACAAGGCAGGGAGGAGGGAGTCACGGAGGGGGTGGATGCGGTCTAAGTACATTACATACATGCACAACCTAGCACAATGAAACCCCTTTGCACAATGCACACAGCTAATAAAAGGAGAGAGGCTGGGGGGGGGGGGGTAATGACCTGCAATCGGGCAGCCATGGCACTGAACAGGAGCTGCTTACAGCAAGCTGAGTTTAGAAGCAGGGACACCATCTAAACAAGACATATAGGGTAGTGACACATAACGTAGCAACGATGGTCCCTGGCTTCATCATTACTCAATCCTCTCCACTTGTCTGTGACCCACAACGCCCTCGGATCACGCACACCAGCTTCACCACAAACACACGAGGAGCAGGTTCCGCTGCGACATGACTTGGTTTCAATATGTTGGTGATGGGAGTTTTGCAGCTCTGTTTAAAAAAAAAAAAAATCTAGTGAGATCCATGAGTCAGGTGTCATCGGCTCACACCTGTCCTCCTGGCTACTCAGGAGGCTGAGATCTGAGGATCGACCTCTGAAGCCAGTTAAAGGTCCATGAGACTCTTATCTCCAATGAACCAGCAAAAAGCCAGAAGTGGAGTAGTACA